GTTTAACCCGACTAGTGAAAGTCTAGTAAAAAATAATAATACAAAAAGTAAAGCACCTTTTTCAGACTTTGCGATCTATATAGCAGATGATTTAAAGGTCTAGTGTTTCTGTTGCTCATGATTAACGAGGATGTCATGCAGCCAGCACCCTTTTCAGACCTTGCGATCTATATAGCAGATGATGTAAAGGTCAATTGTTTCTGTTGCTCATGGTTAACGAGGATGTCATGCAGCCAGCACCCTTTTCAGACCTTGCGATCTATATAGCAGATGATGTAAAGGTCAATTGTTTCTGTGGCTCATGGTTAATGAGGGTGTCATGCGGCCAGTACCCTTTTCAGACCTTGCGATCTATATAAAAGATGATGTAAAGGTCAATTGTTTCTGTGGCTCATGGTTAACGAGGGTGTCATGCGGCCAGCACAACGAACAACCGCCTTTCCCAAACTAATGCCAAGTGCATATTAGAGGTGGGTGGACTTACAGGCAAGCTTGAAGGAAAATGTCGTGACAGAGGTGCCTTTATTAAGCGCTACTAAGATCATGGGCATAGCGGAAAAAAAAAGCTGGCAGAATATTACTTTTGAAAAAGACAGCTGGAGAGCTCTAATGAAGGCCGATGGATACACGTTTGATCCAATACAAAAGCCCTTGTAGACAACAGGTGCAGAAGACGTGTTGTTATTCTAATCTCAAACTGGGTCGTCCTATTCGCTTCACCTAGGGTTCCTGATGACCTAAGACAGGCCCTGTTCAAACCCCAAAGATTTTTTGTTTTTTGTCAATGGATTGAAACATAGACATTTCTATTATAACCTAAAAAGTCTTTTTTTTTTAAAGTGTGTAAAAACAAATAAGGATTTGAGTGTAGGTTTGTAGAGAGTTTGATTCTATATTGTCTTCTCAAATCACTTTCACCTTTACCTATCCGTGTGTCTCTAGAAACGATGGGGTACCACACATGATCAGCAGACCGTCTTTCTCCATTTCTCTTAATTATTTTGCCTTGAAAATTATCTCTTTCAATGACAAGTCCATGTTTTATGTAGTCTTCCCATCGATTTCTCAATCTGTCTCTTTTTCTTTTCCTGGCACTGTTCCGTGAAATAATGTTTTTGTGAGTCTCGAGGGTTTGTAATATGGCTCAATTCCATCTTTAGTATCCTCCTCTCTAGTTTTATAGTCAGTGTCCAAGATTGACAAGCATATAAGAATGTGACCGTTACCAGGGAGCACATCCGTCTGATTTAAGTGACAAGGTCTATGTCTTTATCTTTCCCAATTTTTACAAAGCTTCTCTCAATTCACTCTAACTGAAATGTGTGTGGTAAAAGTGTGTACACGTTATTTCTGCGGCACCCAGCTGAAATATTGCGCAACTACTTTTTTTTTTTACCAGACAGCACAAGGATCACTAAAAAACAACTAATAAACCAATTAGTTAATTAACTATTGGTAATAATTTATTTTGTTTGGTATCTCGACCTAGAGAAAGAAATTGTACTTTACTGAAGGGATAGTATAAGCTGAATTAGTGCCTTTTATAAGTCGTCTTTCTAAATTGTAATGAAAAACATGCCATTTTCTCTAGTCAAAAGTACCTCACTAGCAGAGTGATTATCACGTCGACCCGAGAAGGCGAGAGCCAGGAGTTCGCATTCATGTCTCTCCCTCCCCCTTTTAAAACATTGCAATGCTTTTAAAAAGTATTAAGGTAAAATCCACCCAGACATCCCTTTCTTTCTTAATAAGTGATAGAGTCATAGCTAAAAACACGAACTTTCGCTAAACTGACTGATGCAAACTAATTAATACGTTACACTTCGTTTAAGTTTTGTGATTTTAAAAAAAAATATTTTTTTTTAGGTTTTTCTTGTTTTTGGTTACTTGTTACTTTACCCAATTATTTACAAGTTTGTTTGTTTTTACTTTTGATGATACAGAAGACGAAGTCTAGAGAACTGGTTCAAACGTATCTTTACAACTAATCCAAAACTCTTTTAGTCCTATTGTAAACTAAGCATTTGTAATACATTTGTAATACATGTTTAAAGTATTAAATTAATTTACTAGATTTTATTCATAATTTCGAAATTGTGGTGGAGTGGTAAACTGGAATCCAGGGTTCGAACCTGGGGAAAAACTGTGATTTTTACTTTCTGGATCTTAAGGCGCCTCTGAGTCTACTGAGCTCTAATGGGTTCCTAACATTAGTTGGGTAAAAAGTAAAGGCGGTTTGTTGTTGTGATGGCCACATGACACCATTGTTAACGTGGGTCACAGAAACAGATAACATATAATTCATCTGCCTCGTAGATCACAAGGTTTAAATTTTACTTGTATTAATATTTTCAAGTATCGTAGGCTGTTTCGTCGTGTGCGCTCTGGACTGACGTTCGATGGTCTTGATGGTCCTGGGTTCAAAAGATGTCAGTGGCGTAGCTAGGGTGGGTGGAGGGGGATCAACTTTAATAATCTCATCAAGCCTTTACTTGAAGGGGGTCCCAAATGAGTGTCCGAAATGTGTTTTTACATTAACTATCACGCCATTTATCTCATTTCATGATGTTGAATGTCAAAATGCAGAGGCCTCTAAAGAGGTCGATCACCCAGGCCCTCAAAATTCCTAACTACGCCACTGAAAGATGTAATTATTTACAAATCTGGAGTAACATCTGAAACATGCTAAACAATTAAAAGTCTCCACTGAAGTAAAAGTTAGCACAACGCTGTTGGAAGGCAAATGAAAAGCACGGTAGTTCAGCTGGTCTGATTGCTCAACGACAATATAATCATTTTCTTGAGTTAGATCCTTATTACCATACGTTATATTTTTAAACAAATAACCGATTTGCTACTGACTACTGTCATAAAAGGGAAACTACTGTACGCTTTGAATATTTGAAATCAAACTACAGTTTCATCCGGTAAGTTCTCTCAGTTAGTGGGATTGAGATGATTGTGCAATGTATTTAGTTATAAAACGTTTGTCTGTCAATCTTATGGTGTTTGGAGGAGCGGTGGCTAAGTGTTAAGTTTATTAGCTTCCCAGGTTCGAATCTTGAAATTTTAAATCTTAAATCTGGAATCTTAAATTAGCCTGTAAGTCCACGCAACTCTAATGGATAGGCCTTCTTATTGTTTGTTGAGAAAAGTAAAGGCGATTGGTCGTTGTGCTAGCCACTTGACACCCTCGTTAACCCTGACCGCAGAAACAGATGACCTTGATACTACATCGTTTGTCGTTTATTGTTTGTTGTTTGTCGTTTGTTTTTTACGTCGTATACAACATTAGCCTCCATACAACTAAATAAGATAAGCCAGCAGAAAATAAGATACACTGCGACATGTTGGGGTCCAATGTCACTGCTTGACGATGGTGTAGATGTAGGTCGTAGCTATGCTGAAGATGCATGAGGGCATGTTCCATCAGGAATTGTTTTAACTGCATACATCTTTCATTTTACTTTTAGTTACGGAGTACAAGAGATGGTATCTATTATCCACGTCTGTAATGGGAGACAAGCTTTATTGTAAAAAAAAAGTCAATATATATATATTTATTAAGAACAATAAGAGAGAAGAGAGTGAGAGACAGAGCGACATAAATACATACACACATACACAAAAACATACATACATATATGCGTACACATATAATAAGGCTTGTCTTCGAGTCCGAAGATTAATGAGGAATACAGTATTTCACGTGGCTACGCAGCCCCAGCTGCGACCTACATATTTTGCCACACCCAGGGCAATCATAACCTTTGTTTGCCGGTGGTCGATTTAGATTTGTTTCCCTACGCCGTCTGCGTCTGTCCATGTCAGCGGATGTATGTACGTATGTCTCAAAGGCCACGGAATACACATTTAAGACATACATACATACACAATACAAAGATAGATCGATATAGATATAGATAATAAGATTAAATTACATAAGATAGATATATATAGAGATAGATAGATAGATATTTTTACCTGGAATGATTGTAAAGGTAGATGTGGCTGTACTTGATACAAAAGGATGCAATCGCACTTATTGTCATTCATATATTTCTTGGTCTGAACACTCCAGTCTATTTATAGTCATCGTAATGGCGCCTGCCTTCGAGGAATCTCTCTCGTGCTTTCCCAGTATGGCGAGACTGTATGTCGTGCAGTTGTATGGTAGTCTGTTTGTGTCACATACAAAAATATTAAGAATAGTAATTTTCTTTATCCCTTCTAATACTGATTTGATCTGGCTTATCGATGACATTACAAGAGCACTCAAGCACTGCCTTTTCACCCAAATGTCTGTTTCTTATTTGTGATCTAATCACTAGAGCAGAGACACACACTTCTACTGCTAAATTGAAAACAAAGCAAAAGTGCCATTTTAATTATTTTGTCGATATGAATGTTTATGTTGTGTTGTCTTATTATGAGAGAAGTGTCTTTGTAATCACAACAAGCTTCCATAAAGATCAATAAACCAGTTTTAGTCTTAGTCTTTGTATGAATTAGTAAAACATTTTTAAAACATATTAAAAAAAAGATAATACCTCCATTGTTAAACTTCAAATATTATTTTTTTTTAAAGTTTAAAAAATGGTTTATTTCGGGTTTCGAACCCGTGACGCCTTCAGCTGCTTGGAAATATGTATATTCTGACTCGGCCGCCGTGAAAGGTATATTTCTGTGATAATTTATTGGAAGTACATTGACATCTGAATTACTTCTAGATCTAGAACATCTGGTTCTAACACTACACCTAAAGTTCTGATTTACAACTCTTAAGATCTAGTCTACATCTACATCTATTTATTTATTATTACTTTGAAAAATTATAACTGTCAAAATAGAGTTTTCCTTCGTGTGGCGAAAGAACTAGTAATTCTTTTTTCAGCGATATACATCAACTGTCATTACTACATTTGTTTCCAAGATCAGCAATCCTCCCACCCAACCTAAATCCATGAAGGAGTGACCGGTATAGAGGTATTGTAAAAATGAATGTCAATTTAAATTAGTATTGTTAATCTTTTAAAGAGTGTCCTCCACTATCAAAGCGCATCTAAACGAAGGATTCTTGGCATCACATAAAAGTAAAGATTCCATTTCAGACCTTGCGATCTCTAGGTTAGATTATAAAGGTTATCTGTTTCTGCGGCTCACGATTAATGAGGATGTCATGTGACTAGCACAACTGCAAACCGCCTTTACTTTTCCCCAACTAATGTCAGGACACAAAGGCGTCCTAAAGATTCCAAGTTAAAAATCACAGGTTAAAGACTTCTATCATAATCCTTTAAAAAGTTCAATGCCTTATATATATAAAGGTATAATACAATAAATTGATAATAAAATAAAGTTATAACACAATAAAGTTATAGTTAGTTTATATATGTATACCTATACCCTTGTTAGTCTAATATAACTTAGTTAAATCATTCCAATGATAAGGATAGAATAAACAGACTATGAGTTGCACTATAAGGATCAAATATGATCGGCCAGAGGTGTCCCTTGAGATTAGAAAAGGAAATGCCCCATTCCAATAAAAAATGCATTTCTTTTTTCTGATTCAATCGATTTTTTTTGGGGGGGGGGTTATTTACTGTTATTGATACTAGCAAAAACGAGGAATAGACGATAGCTGAGCTGGTTTGGTCATATTGTAAAACATGATTCACTGTCTTAAGTCATTCTTCAAGGTACAGTGGAATAAATCGTCCAAGGAAAAGCTGGCTGGACCACGTACAAGAATGGACTGACCTCTACTTAATTCAGCTGCTGGCCAGGAGATGTGGATGGACATGGTGACCCAAACTGTCAGGGCAAGAAAGTCATGTGACAGATAAGATACATTTAGTCTATTTATCCATTTATTTCGTCTTCTTATCTTATTTTATCTAATCTTATACACAGGTTACTGTACAGTCATGATTTACTACGATGACTCATTGTAATAAATTCGTCCTATCTTGACGTTACCGCGAGTACGTGACTGCACTCTTAAAACAAAGTTATTATCTCGCGTTTCTCATTTGGTCTCTTATACTCATTCATATTTTAGCCACAATGTGACACACTGCTCTTGTTTCATTTCTCTTATTTTATACATTACAGTCTGTTGTTGTTGTTTTTTTTAAGGCAAGATAAAATCCATTACTGTGTAAATCTAAACACGCATGCTAATTAGACCTACACTCTGGTAAGTTTTTGGTTTTCCTGTCAGGATTTGATTCATTCTTGCCTTTTATCAGTAACGCAGTTGGGATAGTTTCATCATTGCTGACTTTATTACCTAGGATTTGGGAGTTGGCAACTAAATTCTAGCTGTTATGGGGATAGAAACTTCGGTTATTTTACTTTCTCCATGTAGGGCCGGCTTTATGAATAAGCAAACTAGGCAGCCACCTGATACCTCCGATTAGTTGTGGCCTTGCACAGGACACAAAGATTTTTTTTATCGAGAAAAAATTGCGAAATATAAATCCAATCTCAAGCAAATCAGAACTCTATGGCTCTAAGTGTATTCGCCTAGCCCTAATAGTCTCTACTATGAATCGGTAATAATTCGTGATGAATAATTAGCTCTACTGGTTTAGACTACATATGTTAAAAGGCCATTGTTTCTTCCTTAAGATGAAATGTCGACCCTGCATGCTAATTAGATATATTTCTAGTCTGGTGATGATGAATCACTCATTAAGCAGATTTGTGCTATCAGCGCTAGGCCTATACGGATTTAACGTATTTTTGTTGATCTAGATATAAGCCTATATACAAGACTGTTTATAGTTGCGTATTTGTCAGTCTCAATTTTGTAGAAAACTAAAAGCACGAAATTGCGCTAAACAAAAACAAATGTAATGGACCTCATGCACCAATCGTAAGCAAACATTTAGCCACGTGGTTCTTTATCTCTTCAATACACATTTCGTAATCCACTAAGTTTATCGCCGTCACTGTTTTTTTTTAATTTTTTATCAATATTATCACGTGGCTAATTGTTGTTTGTTTTCGGTTAGTGAATGAGGTCCATTACATGACTGATATAAACTTATTGATACAATTACACTTCGGATAAGATTTTTTTAAAGGCTTTTTCTTGTTTGTTTGTTTTTGTTTTTTTTTGTTATTTGTTCAACTTTAATGTAAAAAAAAAATACAACTTTTTATCCATAATTTTGAACGCTGGTGAAAAAGCGGTAAAGCGCTTGGCTTTCGATCTTTGAGTCCTGGGTTCGAAACCTTGTGAAAACTGGTATTTGTACATTCTGGATTTTAGGACACTTCTGAGTCTACCCAGCTCTAATGGCTAGCTGAGATTAGTTAGGGAAAAGTAAGGCCGCTTGGTCGTTATGCTGGCCACATTGACAGCCTTGTTAACCGTGGGCCACAGAAACAGATGACCTTTACATCATCTGCCCGGTAGAAAGATAAAGTCTGAACTTTACTTATATTCATATTTTCCAGTATTGTAGGCTGCCTGGTCGTGTGGTATGCAATAAATAGTTTAATTTCCGTCCTACTAGAGAACAAAGCATGACCTGGTCATGTGGTATGCGCGCTGGACTGTCGTTAAGATTTATCGATGGTCCCGGGTTCATACTCTACCGGCTGCCATCCTCCCCCCGCCCCCCCGAAATAAATGATGATATCGTCATGACCAATCTACCCGCTGTCTCATGCTTCCAGCCCCCCCTCCCCTCCCCACCTCCAAGGTGCTGTCAGCGATAACGTTTAGAAGCTTAACGTGTAGGACAAAAGGTTGCCACCTAAAGCTAACGAGTTCCTCCTGCCAAATGTGTACAAATGCCCCTTCTTCCCTAGTGCTATTAGAGCATGGAATGGGTTGGTTAACTTGCATGACTAGTGACTAAATGCATGACGCATAGGACGTAGCCGAATCATCTTCTTTATGGAAGTAACGTCTGAATTTTATCTGTTTATCTGATTATTAGGCCAACGGTTAACGAGCTGGGTGTCATGTGGCCAGCAAAACGACCAACAGCCTTTGCTTTCCCCAACTAAAATTAGGTAGACATTAGAGTCTTCACCGAGATTCGAACCCAGGACCTCAGGTTCGGAAGCCAAGCGTTTAACCACTCAGCCACCGCCCCCCCTGTATTTTTAAAAGATAGATAAGAAGATATAATATAATGGTAGATTTAATGACGCATAAGACAAGAGTAGGTCAATATAGAGTCTACTTAATTGTAAATCTTTTTGGACCCCAGGTTTGGAAGCCAAGCGCTTAACCACTCAACCACCGCCCCCCCCCCCTGTATTTTTAAAAGATACATAAGAAGATATAATATAATGGTAGATTTAATGACACATAAAACAAGAGTAGGCCTATATAGAGTCTACTTAATTGTAAATCTTTTTGGACCATTACATATATAATATAGGCTTATATCGGAAAACCTGAATGCGAGCGTTATAATTCTAATTGTTTTAAAATAATATATTTAATTATCTCACAATTAAATAAGACTTACCCACGTTCTTTTAATGAACCAAAATTGTTCCGAAAGGCGTTAAAAATATAATTCTTTGCAATGTTACAACAGCCTTTCCTAAAAAAAATCAATCATTTAGTAAGTTTTTGTTTAGCGAGTTAAAATGGGAATTACCGCAATGAAAATGAGCGAAGTATTGTAAGTATTAGGATTCGGTGTTTCATACCAATTTTCTGCACTCAATCCATGCTCAAACAGAGTTCGATGTTTTCTAGGGAAAAGGAATCGGAGATTCCATTTACTGCGGATAAACACACACATAAATATATAGGTCTGTGAGGGTAACTGTATTCGTATGCTAGCATTACCAACCGGTTTGTCACTTTGATTTGTTCCAAAGCTATATTTTTTTGCCACCGATCCCTCTTTTTTTTTCTTACTTATTACAATATAATGGACCACATTTTTTAAAACTTATAGCGATAGGCTATAATGATTTAAAGTTAGACACTTCCCCTATACATTCAATTGACCAACTAAACATTCCGCATCTCTTAGCAATACCCACCGGCTTCACCCTTTCATTTGTTCGCAGGCTAAAAAATTGAATTTTATTGTTTATTTTGCCATGGACCCTTCACGTTTTTCTTATTTATAACAACATAATGATTTAAATTGTAGAATGTAGACAGTTAAAGATATATATTTGACTTCAACTTCAGGTTGGTGGAGAGATGTGCTAAAGCAGGCCAGGGCCATCTAGATCTAAAAACAATGATAATCTATTGGCTGTAGCACCACTGGGATAGATGGAGGGATTGAAAACTATCCTTTTATTAGAAAACTTCTTTTAAGTACATTCCACAATACAACTTGATAACCTCCACAGCAGATAATGGCTTAATATAAACATTAGCACTTAAAGTAGAAGTTGTTAGGGCTATACAGACCTAGTTATCTTTTGATTGTATTTGCAGGTGCGGGTGAGCAGCTTGCTTTTTTATTTTGTCTTAGCACCTAGCACCCAGTGGTGCGGCAAGCTGCGGCGAGGGCTGCTCGGTTTAAGGCAGGCAGTAGCTATCCAGTGAGGCTAAAAAGCCCCTCCTACCGTCAAGAGTGGTCCCTGGCGTTCCAGCTTACGCCAATCAGCTAGGAACTTATCACCGGTAACTACCACTCTCCGTGTTTTTCCAAAGACATTTCTGTCAGAGATGGAGTGACCTCTCCATTGCTGGGGGAAAGCCTGGGCGGTAAGTTTGCGAGTGCTGGGCTGCCCACACGTTAGCACACGCCTCTCTTCCTTACTGACCGGGTCCAAAGGGATGGCGAGCCATCACAATTTGGGGACAGGTGGCTGCAGGAGTTTGCCAGAGAGCAGTAGTGTTACTACTGTCACCCCGTTTACGGGGCTCCAGGACCGGATTTTCTGTTAGGGTTTACTCCCTTAGACCTTACAGAGGCTCACACACAAGGCAGTGCGGCTATTGAACTATAGCTAGGAGTTTTGTTTGTGGGCAACAGGGCGTGTCCGCACGCCGACGGGCCATGCCTGCCTCACATCTTGGGGCCAAACCTCCTCCGTGACCCTTGCAGTTTAGCCTGAAGCTTCGCAGCCTCACGAGGAGATACTGCATAGGACTTGCTGTGGAGAGGCTATGTACTGGCAAGAGGGACTTACAAAATTGCTCCCCTTTCGCAGGTGAGAGAGAAAATTGAATACCGCGAATTTGGCAACTCTCAGACAAATATGTCGCAACTGTAAAATACCTCTTACCTTTCATTTCAACATTTTGTCCTGTGCCACTGTTGCCTAGAAATGGATTACTTTCTGATGTTTTATCCTTATCCATGCTATGACCAGAGCCACTGCTTACAGAATCATGCTGCGGAATAATTATAGAACATTCAAAACAAAACAAAAAAACTGTATGCTGAAACCAGAAACAACAATATGTAATATTCTAATGTCTTAATCAACTCTTTCAGTGTGGTATTAAGCTTAGCCAGCAGTGTCATAAGCGATGGCAGGTGCAATGTTACTCTCAACGAGTAACTTGGATTACAGTATTTGTTTCTCTGTCTTTATAATGTTAAACATTTAAATTTTATCTTAATTTTTGTATTTTCTGCATGTGAGAGTATTGTTCTTTGTTTTTGTTGTTAACTTTGTCCCTGACAATGAGGAAAACATATTTAAGACCAACTCTCATAGCTTTGATAATTACTAATAAAAATCAAACCTTAGATAATGCTTACTTCTTGTTAAGTTTTGATAACTGAAATTGTAACGTAAATAAGTACGGGAATCAAATAATATGTTACTTAAGGTCAAAGTTTGTCTTTGGGAATAAGAATTATGGTAGACTAAGTGGCAATCATCGTCTAATGTAAAAAGAAAATGGCTATTCAGATTTTGTGCGATAATGTGAGAAATAGATATGTCTAGTAATTTATAATATATTGAGTTATTGTATATATGTGACTTTGCATATTTTGTATATTTTGTAAAGATCTATTCGAATTATTTATTGAAATATAAATTATAGAAGCAGGACTCCATTTTTTATTGATTATCCTTGTTCTTGGTTTGGTATGAAACATCAAAGTTGCTGATTTATAATAATTATAATAAAATAAATCAACTGAAGTGCAACAGCCAGGGTCAAAATCCAGATTGTTACAGAAATATTAGAAGACAAGTTGAACTTTATGATTAAAACTATATTACTGATGCTAATTTATAATGAAATTAGTTACTTAAGAGGAACAATCAAAGCTTCAGATTAGAAATGGCAAGTCAAAATACAAAGTGAAGCAATAAAAACTGACCAGATGATAAAGACTCTCCCAGAAATCATGAGTCATGTCAAAAAGCGCACAACATGGCGAAACCAAAAGTGTCAAAACTTGTAAAATCATAATTAGGATTAGGTCCAATTGAAAGGCACACATAATCTGCTGTTCCATTGGTGGTGGTATTAGGGCAACCACTGATTATGAAGAAATAATACAAAATCTAGATGAGATCATAGTATAAAGAAATAATTTAAATATACAGTAACATTTTTATTAAAGAAACTAGAAATTTGATAAATTGTAAGCTTTAAAATGTTATAGTATTCCAAAAGAAATGGAAATTAACAAACTTTGCAGCAAAATGATCAAAGAGCCAGTTTTGTGACTGATCACACACATTTGTTTAACTGTGACCTTTTCTACTAAGACTAAGACCAACACATGGTTTCAAGACACAACCAATCAAGAACACATGGTTTCAATTCAAGACAATCAGTTGTACACACAGTTGAAGACAGACATGATTTTCAGATTGTTTAAAGACCAGTCCAACACAACAGAAATATCTTTTCTTGTGACCCATTTGTAACAAAATTATTGTTGGAAATACTCATGGCTTTTTATTTTGTACTGTAATAATGCGCAGACACTTACAAACACTTAGTAGATTAACATAATATGGAACTATGGAAGAAAGAAATAAAATTTGCAGAAGTGTTTGGTTATTGTGGTTTGCGAGTTTTATTAATTGTTTACACTTTAATTGCGGAGAGCGGTGTTTGGTGGCTTTTACTTTGTTGACAAGGCTAATAGAGCCGACACATAGATCTATATCTATACAATAGGATGGTGCGCAAATGCTTGCTTAGGTCCATTGATCCATTTGTTTGCAAAGAAATGTTTTGTCATTGTTTTAGTGGACTGCAGTAAGCCTAGTGACGTTAGCGGTGTCAAGTTTTATTTTTCTTCCTTTGAGTCAAAGAAAATTTTCATTCATAAAACATTCTGGCCAAAATTAATTTTTCGATAATGAAACATTTTCAAAACGATATAACAGTCGATCTCGAGTTTTCCCTCATGTGGCCTGTGAGTTGAGAATTTTTTCTCATTTATTTACATATACCTTGAAATTTTAAAGAAAATCGTTAGAGCCGTTTTCGAAATAAAATGTATATATATATATATATATATTTAATTTGCTCGCTTAAGAGTATAGGATATATATTTAAGTAATTTTGGTCACGAAGTAGGCCTATAAATGATATATTTATAAAAATTCCACCCCCTCGAAAGGCTAAGATGGGAAGGGCAGTACATGCAGTATATATTCTATATTGTAATATAAGGTGACCGAGCCTCGCTCGGATGAATAATTTGTTAAGGAACAATATATACCCGAAGTCATTTTGGGAATATTTTAATTACGAAAATGAACGATCGGGTAAAGACTATCAGTCCGAAGAGTTGATTTTTCGTTCTGTCGTTTCTCAATGTAGGCCTAATTGTACATGGCGATTAGAATAGAAAGTCCCCCCCAACATTAGGCCTATAGAAAACCACAGCTCACGTCTTAACGTTTTACATTGCTTGTAGGCTTGGAAGAAAGTCTTTGCAGTGTATCTTCTAAAATGGTTACTTTCTGACATTTAATATTGCAATTAATATATTCATTATGGTTCTGAGACATGGACACTTTACAGAAAACTACTCAGACTTCTTGAGTGCTTTCACCAAAGATGCTTGCGCTCCATCATGGACATACGGTGGCAGAACCGCACCACGGGATACACATTTGAGACCAAAAGGAAATCTGCTGCCGAGGACAAACGCAGACGACGAAAATTAAATCTAAATCGACCACCTGCGGACAATAGTTATGCTTGCCCTGGATGTGGCAAAATATGTAGGTCACAGCTGGGGCTGCGCAGCCACGGAAAATACTGCATTCCTCACTAATCTTCGGACTCGACGACAATGCAAAATCTCTACATTATAGTGTAAAACGTGCACCTAGTAACAAAGTAAAATCGCGCATTTTCCCCTTTGAGACTTAAAAACATCGCGTTAGTGTTCTAAAGAAGCGTTATTGTGAGGCATCTCTGTTACTCCGACAACCTTTCAGCTTACTAAAAAAAAAAGATTGCCAAAATATGTTCGTCCCCTATACGGAATAAGTGCCCTGCAAAGCGTGACTGTCGGATTATAAGAAGTTCATACCATTTTGCAAGAATATCGCTGTTTGTATTGCGGTCTTTGGTGAAGTTGTTTAAGAAGTCTTAGTTGCTTTCTATAAAGTACTCATGTCTCAGATCCACAGAGAGGGGTTTAGAGAATCACTGGTTGACACTGATTTTTGTAGACAGGCGGAGCGCTTGGAGGCGTCCAAAAGCACGT